CTCCATTGTGGCCGTTCGGGTGGTTGTATTTGTTTCTGTGGCCTTTGGCTTCTGAACACATTCATGGCAGGCCTCCTTCAGTCTCCAGAGACTATGGGGATGTGCTCTGTATGGAGGACTTGGAACCGCGTCTCGTGTTTTGAGGCTGTACCCGAAGCTGGCGTGTCCTCTCCAGAGCATGAAGCCTGGGTAAAATCATATGGAGGATAGGCTGTTACAACTGCCTCCGGGACTCCGGCTCCGGATTTTGCCTCTAGGTTAACTCCTGAAGCCTTTTCCATCTGGATATAGCCACAAGGCAGTGGAGGTTTGAAATCGGAGTTTTCTTTCTCCTAGATGGGCTGCCTTCCAGGGCTGACGAGTCCCACCTACCCGGTGATTTTACTGGGGGGGGGGAGAGCCTAAGCCGGAAGAGAAAAACCGATGCAATTGTGTGAGGATGAGAGGAGCTTTTAGCTGGAGACAGGAGGTTCTCACCAGCCCCGGTCAGTCCTTTGCGGGGCCGCCTCCCTCTTCTTTCCAGGAGCCCCATGGCTCTGCTTGCCCTCGGAGGAGGAAAGGGGAGCCCTTCTTCTATCGTGTTTCCCAGCAATCGCTTGAAAAGTCCCACCAAGAAGGTTGCCAAACCGTTTCTTTTCTCATTGTTTTCATGCTTTTGGGGGTCCTGCAGGGCACCAAACTGGAAATGCCTCTCTGGCTGGCCAAAGGCCTGTATGACAGCAAGCGGTGGATTCTGTCGGTGGAGCTGCCAAAAATTTACAAGGAGAGCTGGCGGACCGTGTTCAGTGCCGATGCCAACGTGGTCGACCTTCACAAGTTGGGCCCCTACTACTATGGGTTTGGTTCCCAGATGTTAAATTTTGACAATCCTGAAAACACTCAACTAGCACAGACAATATTGCAGGTAAAAAGGGGCAGAAGAGGTCATCCTGTGGTTCTGGTTGGCTTTGCAGCCAGCTCCTTTCTTTTCTTTGGTATCTGACATTCATGTACATCCGCATTTATGTTTATGAAATATACTGAGAGATTGCCTTTCTTCTCAAGTGCATAGCGATAGTCTGGCATTCTCCTAGAAATATATTGAGAGATTGCTTAGTAGGGCTCACTGATTTAAGGCCAGGAATGGATAAAAGCAGGCAAAAGTTTAATTAATATTTATATATGGATTGACAAGTACTTACAAGCCAAATGTTTCAAAGCAGCGTACAAGATTAAATATGAGACACAAGAGGCAGAATGCCCTCTATACATTTGCATACAGGGTGGGCTATAAATGGTTTCAATAAATACATAAATAGTAGTGTCACTTTGCAGCATTGCCATACTTGTAATCTGACCCTGACTAACCGCCAGAGAAAGAGAGCTGCTTGAACTTGGTGACCCCAAAAAGCATTTTTCCCTCCCCTGAGTAACCGTGTTTCCCTTGTTAGACCTTTATTGGCCGATTCCGTCGGATTATGGACTCCTCGCAGAACGCTTTCAACGAGGACACGTCTTCATTGGTGTCTCGACTAGATGAGCTGGAGCGAGGCTTATTTCAAGCAGGCCAGAAAGGACTCAATGATTTCCAGCGCTGGGAAATGGGCCAGGCTGCCCAGATCACGGTGTCAAGCCTTGTCCAGAATTACAAGAAGAGGAAATTTAGTGACCTGGACAGCTGAGAGCTTGAAGGGGCAAATTAGGCTTTCAAAGGGGCTGCTTGTTGGGCAACAGACAAAAAAGGAATGGGCATTCATGTTACCATACCCTATGTCTAGTGAACTCTCGGTTCACATGAGGATCTGTTGGTCTGTTCTGGTTTTATGGGCAGTTAAATAAACACAGCAAGCATCCATTAAAAAAAAAGAGCAGTAATTCAATGTATGTTTCAAGTAAGGGTTGCAGAAACTGGGCAAAAAAGATGAGCTGTTTCCAGTTTACTTGAAAGCAAAATAAACCCTCTGAACTCTCTTGCTGTGAATACTGAGGAATCACCAAAAGGTGTCAATGTAGACATCTCTGCTTCTCTAGAATTCCCTGGGGAGGCCGTGCCATTTAAAGAATTCCTGCTTTGACCATTTGAGGATCACTCAGATGAATGGGCATTTGTCAGATTCACTTTTCTTTTAAGTCTCAGCCACAAGCAAATTATGTCTAGCAAAAAGGGTTGCCTTCATAGTGTCAGTCTACCAAATAAGTAGCTAGTGGGACTTTAGAGGTGGTGTTCAGCCCCCTTTCCTTTTTTTCCCGGATCAAGATGCCATGGTAACATCCAAACATGACTATTAAGGTGAGACCCTTTTCCAGAAATTCCCGCTTTTTGTAGCCAGACAAATTGTGGGGAAAGCCCTAATGGTGTCTCACACTTGCTTTTGTTGTATATTTTACCACTGGTTTTATTGTGTGTTTCTTTTCATATTGAGAATATTTCTGCTGCTTCCAGTGATTACAATTTAATATTTGACATGTTCATGTACTACAAAAGTCTGTTTCAGTGCCATATTTTTCTCGGCATTAGACATTTTTGCCTATGACTGTTATTTATAGCTTGCATAGAGTACTAAATGCTTTATGGTTCTTTCCCCTCCGGCCTCCATTTAACCAGCTAATCTTGGGAGAAGGCATTTTAACATTAAAACCCATTAAACATACCTGCCTGTGTGTCCTCTCTTTCTGTCTATATACTTGCCGGCTGCAGAAAAAACGGGCAGAAGATTTCCAGTTTTCGAGAAGATGCTAGAAAGAGGAGGAATTCTGTGTTTTGCTTAGCTTATTTGACTACTTTGCAATGGGAAGCTGTAGGAATCTCCCGTGGAGTCTGATGGATCCTTAGTTTGAACTGCTCTGAACTGCCAGGATGGGGACACTTCAGGGAAGATCATTTGCAGCAAGCTGGAGCTGAAGTGAGTGCGATCAGGACCCTCAAGGCTGCCTGCCAGCAGCCAAGTCCAGGAACACAGTCTGCCGCCTCAGAGGCTTCAAGGGGCTGGGCTGGCTCAGGACCGTTCTTGCCAAGGCCGCTGTGTAGTCCTTGGCCACTTCAGAATCCAGAGTGGCAGCTGTCATCTTTTGAATCGATGCAACGTGGCGGTCATTGGGTAGAAGGCCATGCCAGTTATTCCCCTGGTCTCACTTGCGTTCCTTTTGCAAAACATTGAGGACCTGAACTTGAATCACCTTTCCTTAAAGGGAAGGTACTTGCTCCCTATTTTGAATTGTGGACCTCCCTCAGGGAAACACGCAGCTTTTGCGGGAGGTATGTGTGTGTGGGCGGGGGGAAGACACTTGGTCCCAGGGCCAGTGATGAAAAACCTCTGTTTGGACCAGGTGCTTTGGGGGCTACCTGGAAATAATCTGCTGGAGAGCCCCAGGGGGAAATAGTACATGTTTCCCAAGAGAAACACAATGCAGTGCCTGATAATGAAGCGTTTAAAACAAAGCTAAGTTCTGTGATGTGTCTGAACTGAACAGACTGGCGAACCCCATTTGGGAATGTTGTCCATCAGGAGGCAAAAGAGTCTTTTGTTGTGTTTTGCAATACCTGGAAGCTCCCAAAGGCTTCCTGCCCTCTTCAGCCGGACTCAGTTTTTTTTTTTAAAGAAGCCAGACAGTGGCCCTGGATTTGGGGCACTGTGTTGTTTTTGCACTGGTGTTTGGAAAAGGTGGGGGTCACTGTAGGTTACTGAAGCCCCACCAGCTACTACATGCAGATCGCGCTCCAAGTGAGAAGGCATGGGTGGGAGGCCTGAGAGGCAGCGTTGGGTGACAGCCCTCTTCCAGTTTGCAAAAGAGACATTGGCAAAACGAGTAACATGAAGTTGATTGCAACACATTGGCTGCTACGATCATTGATGAATAATGCTTTAATACAGAATAAACCGCTGCCTTAATTGATTTTTGTCATGGTTTCGCCCAAGGGAGGATCAGGTGTTCCATAATGTGGTCCCTTCCAGGATCGATACACACCTGCAGGCATCACCAATTGGGATCAGAAATGGCTTCTGCTTTTCCATCTTGGCACCAAGCCTCACTCCAAGTTGGGTGGGCGCCAAATCCTGGCTCGAAGGACCCTGTTTCTCTCCAGAGCTTCCACGGTCATGGGGAGACCCTGTGGCTGCAGCCGGCTTTGTCAGTCCTGCCTGCCTTCCTCCTCTGTGCCTTGTGGATTTAAAAAAGGATGCCACGTTGGAGGGAGAAACCCCAAGAGCCAAGCTGGGAAGGAGGCTGTGGGCTCTCCCATAGTAGCAGGAGAATTAAAGGCGGAAGAGAAGGGGCTGGTAGCACGCTCCAACCCACAGAGACAGGGGACAATGCCCCTTTCTCCCTGGGCCAGAGGACATCTCAAGAACCAGAGGGAGGTGCTCATAGCAGAGCTGCATCTGGGCATGATGAGGATGGACAGAGGTCAAGGGGGGGTGTTGGACATGTCCTCTGGGCAACTGATGTTTGGGTGCCCCAAGATGGCTTACGTGGCAGTGCAGGGCCCCCGCTCACCTCTGGCACTGCCTCCCAGCCTCTTTGGGCCCTCCTCCTGCCTCCCCAGTGTCTCTGCCATTGCTCCATCCTCAAGGGGAAGGAGCGAGAGATGGCTGCTGTGCCTTTGGAAGGAGTCGGATGCAGGGAAATTCAGGGGGCAAACCTTGCCCTGTCATGGCGGGCCGGCCCCACCATGAAGGGAGAAGGCTGCCTCAAGGGGCCAAGGCAGGCAAGCGGCCCCTCGCCTGTCCTTGCATGTGGCATTGTGGGGCTCAAGTGCCAGGGCCCGCCTGCTCCCTCTCGGCTGGCTTTTTGCTCTGCAGCTGCAACCTGGAACAGCCTCTTGGTCTCGAAGTAATCTGGCCATCTGGGAATTAAGGGGGGGGGAGGAGGCCTGAGGAGACAGGATTCCTTGCCTGGAGGCCTGAGGAGGCGCCGCTCTCCCTTCAGCCAGAGTCTCACTGTGACCAGCAGGAGAGTGGCAGAGCCAGGAGCAGGCGGCTGGGAGAGGCAGCGGGAGGTCCACAGCCTCCTCTCTGCCCCCGAAGCCAGGTTGCTGCCTCGAGGTGCAAGGGGAGACATCTTCTCATCCTTGACACTGGAGTGAGATCCGCTTTGCTGTCCAGCCAGCAGCGGCCTGGGGCCTTGGAAGGGCCGCCCTTTTGAGCCAGCCCTGGGAGGGTCGTGAGCCACTGACTTTGTCCCGCCTGGTGGGCTGAGGCTGCTTCTCGGCAAAGCCCACGAGGGTGACAGCTGAGAAGTCGGTGTGGGGCAAAGTGCCCGGAGACCTTTCTGCCTCTCTCCTTGCACCCCAAGAGGTCAGGCCTGGGCTTTTGCATCATGCTTTCTGAGATGGCTCCTGTGGGCAGCTCTTTGACTTTGGCCTGGCGTCCCAAGGAGAGCCGGAGGCCAGCGCTGGAGCAGCCCTGCCATTTGTGAACCGCCCCACCACTTCACTGGACCACCGAAATCCCCTGGGAGCAGATTTAGCATTGCGTGCTAATTGGCAGCGACAGCTCGCTGTGTTCTAGCACGTGGCATTATTGACACATTCGTTGTGAGTGGGGCTCAAGGAAAAGTGAAGGTCACAGTCCGCTCTGGGAAGGCCTCCAACAGGCAGGAGCACATCCCACCCCCCACCCCGTTCTGTCTTTGCCAGGTTGGCCACCTACGCCCAGGGGTGTGTGGTAGCCATAATGTGAGGACCATAGGCAGAGGAGGAGGGCCCGGCTCAGGGTTGGCTCTTCCATAAGGTTGTTTATTTATGTATTTGTTTAGGTTTGGTTTATTATATACCTCTATATATTCGCCAAGCTAGTACAGAGCACAAATTGGGAGGAGGAGGAATTAACAAATACGTCTCCCCCCCCCATTGCCAGTAGCCCCCAAAAAGTATTAACAGGCACATTAAATTAAATAAGTAACCAGGATCTAAGAATAAAACAACAAATGATGACGGCATCTAGTTCTATAAAAAATTATCAGCATCTATTGCAAAACTCAGAGTGAACAGCTGCTTTGTTTACCTTCTTCACTCCCATCTCCATTCAATAGTACCCAACTTAGAGAATGCTGGAAGACCTTTAAATCACAGCATGCAGAGAACGGGAGATTCAGGCGGAGGGGTTTTGCTTGAATATCCTTTTCTCATGTCACTTCTGGATGAACTGAAGCTAAGAGCTGGTTTATAGGAACATTTACATGTGGGTTTTTTTTTGGGGGGGGGGAGACATTTTGCTTTTCCTATCAGTGATTCTTTTTGTCTCTACTTGTCTTCCAGTATCATAAGGCCTTTGTTTCACCAAGACATTCATCTTGCAGTGAGATATTGCCTTGACTTAACCTGAAACAAACGAATGCAAAATTCAATGGAACCAAGATGTTGTGAATCTGGATTCTAGGCCCTTCGCACTCCCAGATCTCTGTCTTTGGCAAAGAGCACCTTTCCCCCACACCATGCCCTAATGCTTGGCCCCTCCTCAAAGGACATAAAAAAAGATACACACATATATATTATTAACTATGATAGTTCAGATGTTTTGTGCACTTATCACCGCTGCAGAACATTGTTACTCTGTGCATTTGTTCTGGTTCCCTGCAGGACCCTGGACAGCTCCAAAGGGAGGTTAGCATTGGAGGCTAACCTGCCAGCCCGCAGGTCAGCTTTTGCTCCCTCAGGTACCAGCCCCAAAAATGTTTCAGCAGCCTCTGCTTGGTAGTCCTCCCCTCTGCATGGGCTTGGGTTTGTCGGCTGAGTGGTGGTCACAGATCTCACCAGTGTGGAAGAGGACCACCCATTTCTAGGATAGTCTAAACACCAGCCTGGACCACCCGTTTTTCTGAAATGTGCCGCTCTGCCTTCCTGCCACCTGGGAAGCTGCTGCCCCCCAGTCTGTGCAACTGAGACCCACATGGATCTCATCAGGAGGGTGAATTTTTAAAAAAAGATGATTATGGAAACTCAACCCTAATGAGCTTATCTTTGCTTGAGTGAACTAAAAGCACAGGGGAAATTAGCTACACGGACTGGAGTTTTTAAAAGCAAGTGTTAATGTTTAAAAGCACCGAAGGGGTGAAAGGAGGCCAAGCACTGGGTTCTGAAAGGGGTGTGCGGGTCGCTGTCATAGGCCTACCCTTAATCAGAGTGAGGCTTGTGCAAGAGTGCTCCCAGGTGGATCGGGGCCTCTGTTGACTGGTAGAGGAGCCTGCTTCAGATGGTCGGGCTCAAGAAATAAGGAGGTGTTTTCTTTTTCTTTATTTCTTACAACCATTTCTATTCCAATGTATTTGGGCTATATTCCCCCTCAAGGCAAGCAGAGTATTGGAAAAGAATGTACTTGGAGAAGAAGATCTTGAAGTCTTACTGGGCCTAAGACTGGATGGATTTTAGCCCCCTTTTCGGTCAGCTGATAAGAAGCGAAGCAATTGCTTTCTTTCCGCATGCAGTGAGTTCCTCTTCCAAGAAGGTGGCTATGCTGAGTCTGGAGTTTTGCTGAAGAAAGCAGCTTTTTGGCTGTATACACAAGCCTGTATGGAAAACCTAAAGTGTGCAGGCCAGTTCCCCCCCCCCCGTTCCTACTCAGTGGGATCCACACCTCACTGTCTGTTGGTCTTAGATGGGTTCGTTCCAGCCTAGTAGGGACCACCCCCACCCTCCAGGCCGTTATCCTCCTTG